CTTGCACTGACATGTCATTCCTGTTTGGGAAAAGGCTTCTGCTGGGGAGACATATACATCAGAGAAGTGGTTGTTGATTAGTTCTCTCACTTGTATTGTATCCTGTACCCAGTTACCATCTTCATCCATCAATTCAGTGATCCACTTATTGCCTTTTTTCCTGGACGCCCATTTTTGAAAGAACTTAGTGTTTTTGTCCCCCTGGATTGGCCAAATCAGTTTTGCTCTTTGACTCCAATAATCTTCTTGCATTTGAAGTGCTTCTTCCATTGCTTGTTTGATTTGTATGAGTTTTTGGTGAGCTTGATCATCATTGCTGTTTGCTTCCCAGTATTGCTGTTGAAGGGCTTCCTCTAAGAGTTTTTGCACATACATATCTAAACTCTTGTAAGTATCTGTGCTCCAGTTATGCAATTGGTTCAAACATCTGGTTAATCGGACTGACATTTGGGATGGTGTACATTGTTCCTCCTGAGGTTTACGTTGCCAATTTTGACTCACAATTTCCAGTGACTTGTTGCATCTTATCCAGAATTGCTCAAAAGCTTTCCTCTGTTTTCTTCCTTTGTTTTGTACTTTCACATCCACCAGAGTCTAAATTGCATATTGGCCCCAATTAAAAAAAAAAACAAAACAAACTAAAGTTGTATAAGCATGCTTCATGAATTATGAACATAGCCCCTTGATTTTAGTTTACTAATTGACGAGTCATAAATAAACCCCAACCTTAATGGGTTTGGGCCCACTACATTGGAGGCAAAGTCATCGCGTAAACCTATTACGACTAGGTTTAAGGAAACAGGTAATACCACCTCTATGTAAAGAGTAGAGGTGGTGCCTCTCCCATAATTCACATCTTCTGCACCTTCTGCACACGATACACATACCTCTCTCTCTACTCTCTCTATTCCTTTATTGACTTAAGCATTAGAGAGTCTACCATCGGGAGACACCCGAGGCTCTGTCTTACAGGTTTTAGGCCATCCGCCGCCGCCTAGATCATCATCGCCGCCCTTCCTAAGGCACCATACAAATCCAGGCTTCGTCAAGTGGCACGCCCAAGGGAACCGATTTGTTTGGTCCTTACAACCAAATATTTCTTGAAAAGAAGCCAAAATTTGTTTGTTCTTCACAGTGATCATTGGGTTGATTTGATGTGTAAATTCATGTACGCAAAAGTCAAAATCAAGAATTTGAAAATTTCCGTACTAAAAACCGTCAACTTCCGCGTCGACTTCCTTTGATCGATGATCCAGTCGACGACAGTTCTGTCAACCTTTTTGTCGAGTTGCTCCAGCCGATGACGAAACCGAAAAAGACACTGTCGACTTTCATGCCGACATAAACAAACCGACGAACAGGCCGACAAGGGGCATGAGGATCAACCAAGAAGAATTTCGGTAATTTTAAAAAATTTGAAATTCAACCCCTATACTTTTTATCTTATGGTTTATTAACCCTAATACTTTTATAATTTTACAGATAAGCTCTCAAGCCTTTCGAAGCAAGGGACAATTTCAACGATTGAAGTTTTGAGAGATACATCTCCTCGAAGGGGCAACCATCCCTCGAGCACCATACTACTACTCAAAGTATTCGAGAAAATGTATCTCAACTTTTATCTACTCGACTACTACCTTCTCGGAATCTAGGTAACACCTTTTCGAATAATCGATTTATCTCGAGATTTGAGGTACTTCTCAAACCTTTTCATTATTATATGCTTCTTGAACATAAGTTCGTATATCACTAATATCATAATTCTTGCCATAAGCATATTATTCATGTCATATGAAAATATCTTTTTGAAACACGATCAAAGGAATTCTTCAAATTACTATCTTCACGGTAAAACCCTATCACCCTTCAATGAGGAAAACGTACTCGGGACAAAAACGGGGCCATACCCTTGGGGCAAGGAATTTGAGGGATCATCCTAATATCCTCTGTTTGAACTGATATTCTTTACGAGCATCTTATTACTATATGCCATTCCTTTATTATTATTATTATTGCAATATCCTTGTCGAGTTTAATGGAAGGATCCACAAGCTCGAGCCGATTGAGTTCAATCTTCCTTATGTACCATGTTCTTCGAGAAGATCACCACCTATCGACCATTGTCCTTCTAAGGACCTCCCTCTGTCGCTCATTGTCTTCTCGAGAACCCTTTTCCAGCGACTACTCATCCATTCGAGTACCATCCTCTCACGAACCATTGTCTCTCCATTGTCTCTCACAGAGACTGTCTTTTCATAGATCATTGTCCTCCCGAAAATCATCTTTTGGAAAGACCTTCCATTATCGACCATTGTCCTTCCGAGGATCACCCCTCGTCGACCTTTGTCTTTCCAAGGGCCCTGTCATCGTCGACCCTTGTCCCCTCGAGGACCTTCTTCTGTCGACCATCACCATTTTGTTCATCTTCCAGGAACATCATGTTCGAGAACTGGGACAACCTTATAGAGGTCGAGAAGCGGTCAACACTCTAGCCTCATACTTATAGCAACCCATATTCTTCTCATCAAGTCTCGAGAATGTGGCTGCTAGAAGCACTTGACGAGTCATAAATAAACCCTAACCTTAATGGGTTTGGACCGGCTACCTTGGAGGCTAAGTCACCGCCCAAACCTATTACGACTAGGTTTAAGGAAACAGGTAACACCATCTCTATATAAAGAGGTGGTGTCTCTCCCATAATTCGCATCTTCTACACCTTCTGCACACGATACACATACCTCTCTCTCCACTCTCTCTATTCCTTTATTGACTTAAGGATTGGAGAGTCTACCCTTGAGAAACACCCGAGACATTGTCTTGTAAGTTTTAGGCTGTCCATTACCGTTTATATCATCATCGCCGCCCGTCCTAAGGAACCGTACAAATCCAAACTTCATTACTAATGGATATCTGCATCATCTTTGATTGAAATGTCAAAGTTAGATTGCAATACATTATATATTAAAGTTGGTTGATTTTTGTAGTGTCGGACAGCCCCAAATTATGCTTGTTTTTTTCTTTTTCAATTATTGAAGATATTTTTGATTAATTTTAACGGAGTACGATTAAAGTGAGTTATAGAAAAAAAAAAACACAAATAATAAACTATAAGAACAAGTAATGTAGGCCTTAAAAATTTGGTTCTTTCCCGGTCAATCTACTAATAGTGAATTTAGGACATGTCGGGTTGCTAGGGATTTTAGACTGAAAAGTAATCTGATTCTTTGTTTTTAAATTCTAACTTTTGCTTAGGAAAGTAATGATTTTCATAATTAAGAAATTTCTTTGGTTTTTAACTTTTGGAAAAAGAAGAAAAAATCGTGAAACCAAGAAAAAGAAACATAACATCCCTGAATGATGATTCCTCACCTTGGAGATGTTATTATGAGTCCCATCTTTTAAGATTTTAAAATTTGCTCATTTTTTATTATCGATAGCTCCTTTTTTTAGCATCATGTTTGCATTATTCATATTTTATTCATTTTTATCTTAATATAACTTATTGTTATATATAGTTTTAAAATTTTTTTACAAGTTGATTAATGATATTTTTTTACATTAATAATTAGCAAAATATTTGGATTTACCACATTAAAAATTGACACTTTATCAAAATAATTTTTTAAAGAAAAAAATAAATTATTAATAATTCGTATAAAAATTTTACATAGATAAAAAAATAAAGATTTATAATTTTTAATAAAAAAAAATCAAACTTCATTGAATTATTTGTGATTTTAATATAGTAATTGTAAATAAGTCTAACAAAAACTCATGTCGATCCTATTAAATAAAATTTGAACTTGCTCCGTCTAATTGAAAATTACATCATCTTTGTTGAATTATAGATTTTAACTTACAAGCACACACATATGTAAAGTCAATATCCTGTATGACATGAACAAGCCCTTGTTTGTGTAGCTAGAGTTAGAAATTTTGAATCGAACTTCATAAAGAGTATTTTAGGGTATTTATAAACTATAAATATTTTTCTCATTTTCTAACATGTAACCAAACAGAAGAAAGTATACTCCTCAGAATTATATTCTCAAGAATGAAAAAGTTTTTTAAAATATTAATTTTTCTCATAATTAAAATTCTAGTAATGTTAATGTTACTTTTACCAACTGTCAAAGCAACCAAACATGCCTAATTAAGAAACTTAAGGAAAAGAAAGTGTGTTCAAGATCAGCGAGAACTAAAGGTGCAAGATTAAGGCATTCGAAATAAGAGTAATTATCGTCAAGTTATATAGCTAGTAGTATTCCACAACATGGCATGGTACTCGGCAAACTTCAAGTACGCTATATAATCTTCATTAAGAAAAAAAGCACAAATATCGGTTAAAGCACCTGCGATCTATTTACATTGACAAATCTAAATGCTTCAATCATTACAGGAGAGTCGCATACAACTTCTGCAGCAATAACACATAAATTTTTTTAAGCTAAAGGACAGTAAGTAAGGCACATTGACAAATCTAAATGCTTCAATCATTACAGGAAAGTCGCATATAACTTTCTGCAGCAATAACACAAATGTTTTGAAGACAGTAAGGCCACGGATTGTCTAACGTTTATCTGAGCCACTTAGTGCATCAAACGTTCAAGTCATTTGATCTCGACCAAGCTATAACTGGACAAGGTAGTTCAGTTCGGCATTAAGTTGCCAAAAAAAAGAAAAAACATTAGAAACTACAAATGAACCATCAACACATACATACATTTTCAGTTATCTGTCTGATACCCAAAACTGTTTCAAGCCATTCACTTAAGCACCTCATCGATTAAAACAAATGTAAACTGCAGCAATAAACACCAAAATGGAATATTTAAGGTCACCTCACTTTTAATTGGAATGACGATTGAGAACGTTATATTCGAATCTAATGTTAATAGCCAGATACGAGTACCACATCTGGGTGGTACAGTTTCAGCAAACTAGACTACCAGCACTGACTTTTTTGCAACCCCTTTTCCCACCCCCACCCCCACCCCCACCTCATACAACACACACAAATAAAATGAAAGATAAATGCAAATGCATTGAAACCTTTAAAGGAGATAAAAGTGGGGGAGAAACAAGGAGACTTATTCAAGAAATTGTGAAAAGCATGATCAGAATCGAAAACGTGGACAAAGATGAGCTAAATAAATATTGTTATAACAGCACGAATTTCTACTCGACAAAATTATTTACAGCATCTCCATATTCATCAATGATCAGCAAAAAGTGTTTTAAGAACATCATGTTCTTTGCATTACTAAATAGGCATCTTTCTACTTTCCCATTTTTCTTTTGTTTGCCGTCACAGCTCTCTACAGCACAACGTTGGATCTTTGACAAATGCTAATGCACAAATTGTTACTTTTAAGTAGAAGAGGCTACATAGAGAAACCATCAGATACAACAATTTACATCGTGAATGCTCACAGGCTCATTCTTAAAGATACATTCTCTAGCTTCATGTACTTTGCCAAAGATTCAACTCAGGACATAAAAACAATCACCACTTGTGATATTTTATTATTGCAAAAAACAAATAAGATAACCTTCTTGGAAACATGCCCAGTTTAGACCACCCCTACCCCAAGAAAAAAGAATTTGAAAATGAAGCAAGTTTCTGTTCTCGGTAGAAGATGGGAAAAGGATCAACACCAAAGAACGTAAAAGGAAATCAGTGGTCAACACTTGGATACCCATTTTCAATCAATAGTAGAAGTTTCAAACTACATCTATTAATTAATTGACGGGAGACATTCTCCACATCCTCAAAACAAACATCAATCAGGATTACTGGAAAAACTACTCTCTGTTATGAAGTGTTGACAGTCATCTAATCAAAAAAAAAATCTCACGGGTACAAATATTTGTCAAATACCTAAACTGCAAGTAAACTTTAAGAAATGATAACAGTCACTGTTCAATAAAGAGAGTGGATTATGAAACTAATCATTTACCAGATGGTCTCATCCTCTGGGAAGACTTTTTAACCTTTTCAACCTGCAACTCAATCAACTTATCTGAAGGCCTTCGTTTCCTTTTCAAGCGAGTATCTCCGGTGTCCTCAGCAGCGGAGTTATCCATTCCTAGATTCAAACTCAAAATTTACGATGCAAGAACTTTACAGAAACATTGATAAAACTTAATAGCATTAATCAAAAAACTTAATTCAGTAAATTCAGCTGAGCAGAAAAAGTTTAGCATATTCAATGTATCAACTGTTTGAAATCAATAGAATCTATGCATCATTCCCATGTGACAAGTAGCTAACACCAAAATTGGCAAAATAGAGAGCTTTCAAAAGAGGGACTCCAGGTGGAATGGCAGATCACCAAAAAAAGATAAGAAAAAAGAACAAATAAAAGCAGTCTTGTGAAGCAAATAGCATACCCTGCTGTCATTTAGCCAGAGTACAGAAAAAGAGTGTTTAAGAAATGAATAAGAAGCTTCTCAACTTTATTCTTTTTGACTGTCACTGGCCAACTACATCAATGAGGATGTTAAACACCACGCATGAAGGTTCTACTAAAATCTAAAGGTCAACAAGCAAAGAATAGGAGCAAGCCTCACGAGTTTTATAATTCTATAGTCATGCACCCCATCTCGGGTAAGACTTAAACTAGTAAACTTGAGTATGAGATACCTTCTATTAACTAAGCTAGGCACATAAAATAGTGTTTCATCAAAATGCATTTGAAAGTAAATCAGCTTAAATAGAGAGTTTTATCATGATGACACCTATATATAAAGATTGTAAGCTCACCTTCAAAAGGACTGGATGACTGATTCAGTGCATGCCCATTTTGGCCAGCCTCTTCAGAAAGTGGGGATCCTGACTGGGTACTCTCCGCTAACTTTGAAGTACTTCCCACACACTTGTCCTGATGTTCAGGAGCATCAGGAGTAGGGTCAGCCGGCAAGAACCGTAACTCTTCTTCTGAGGCATCGGAATCACTAAAAGCTGAATCCTTTTCCACTGTCATGATATCAACATCATCACTTTCATGCACGTCTGACTCTTTCACCTACAAGAATTAACATTACTCAAAAGCATGATAAGAGAAACAACAATCAAGTTCAAAACGAAGAAACTTTTCTCATTTTACCTTTTCACTATCTGGCATCAAATCAAATTCATCTTCCCGCTCTACATATTCTTCATTCTCTTCAAGTTCTTTAAAATCTGGCGCAAATGCGCTCCAATTCTCAGTATAATCTTTGGCCCATATGTAGACCAATCCAGCCAATGAAACAGAGACGACAATGGGGTGGACAGGATGCCATGCTAAATCTATCAGTGCTTCCTTTGGACCTTCAAGGATTTTCACAAGATACCCAGCTCGATCCCAAATGTAGATCTTGTGTTCTCCTTTACTAGCAGACCCACCGATCACCCATTCACCATCACCACTGAAACAAGGGGCTTTCCAGTGAACTTTGGTTATGGAATCCTGGAACTCACGGAAGAGTGATAAACACCTCGATCCAGTAGCTTTCAATTTTTCAAGCTCATCCAGCTCATTTAGGTCACTCTTTGTCTCATCAAGGGCATTAAGCCCATCTTTTAATGGGAGAAGGTTTTCGTATATCCTTATAGTCCGGTCATTTGAATTGGTAAGAAGATACTGGCCATTCCTACTAAACACAATATTTTTAATAACAGAACCCCCAGGAACCTGAATTATGCCTCGGACTTGATTACTTCTGTGATCTATTATAAGTATTTCACCTTTTGAGTTTCCCAAGTAGACCAGATCTCCATGTTTGCTAAAGCATGCAGCAGTAGGAGTGAAGGGTGCAGATCCATCTGAAAACTTTTTTTGCGATTGAGGAGGAAGACCATTACTGGTTTCAGTAAATGACACAGGAAGAACAGTTGTGCTACCAGCATTCAGGTCAACAATCATTGGAGCTGATGACAGAGGGCAAACTAAGCAAATTGAAGGTGAAGAACCAGGATGCAGACGAGCATGTAATGGTGTCTGCTGAAGCGTTATTCGTGTTATCTTCTCACCTTTGACCACATCCCAGAGCGTTAAAGATTTATCAGCAGCAGAAGCCAGTATCTTGTGCCCATACTTGGACCAGCAAACACTAGTTATTGCAGAAATACAATCCCTATCCTTGAGAATTTTAGCAATACCTCTAGTCTCAAAATCCCAAATGACACAGCCCCCATCAGCACATCCAGCTGTCAAAAGAAGCATACATTCATATAAAAGCATGAAAAGACCAGGATCCTTGCTTTTTAGAAATCTCAATGTAGAGGCAGAGCCCAAAAGTGCTACAGGTATTAATAAATAATAATGAAGACATAGATTCAACAAATTATGACCGAAAGTGCAAGAGACAAGGGGCAAAAATCTCTAACTTTCAGGCCCCATTTGTTTGGAAAGAAGAAAACAAGAGATGATATCAAACAACAACATACCCAAAGACAATGATGTTAGCAGATACACAAACTATATTCGAGTAGGAATGAAATCATACAACTTATTAGATATAAGGCAAAAATGCACCACTCTAAGCCCAGCCACAAAGAAAGAAAAATGAAGATAAATGAACATGGATAACCAACTGAATTTTCTTTAGCTTTAAAAAATCAGTGATTATAACCATATGATTCGGTAAAGAATTTCTGATGCATACTTGCTTCATAGATTAATACAAATGGAAAGAAATAAGCAAATGCTCAAAAGCAGAAAACTGCATTACTAAGAGGCATTCAGCTGGTATCTTATAGACCTGATGCTTGATAAGCAGGAGTGTCTACATTAGTGAAAGCTCAAGAGGAAAAAAGTGAGAATGAGATAGCTGGGAAAGCGACAAACTCAAACTAGGAAGTTAGCATCACCAAAAAATCAAATGGTAATAACAGAAATACAGTAAATGAAACTCTTTAGAAGCCTCAGTCAATTGAGTAGCAACTCATACTAGATTATGCGTTGTCACCGCTGCTATTACACACAAAAGTTAACAGCCTTTCATCCAGAATCTAATTTTCAACAAACATTAACCCTAATTAACAATGACCAGATCTAGGTTAACAAAAGAATGTAAATTATGCGCTTTTGAACAATGGTAAATCATGCTACAGAGTTAGAGGCAAAATATTGCCCTATGTTTTATTATCAAGAATTACATTCTTACTACTATAAATTTCAGATATGGAGACTTTACAAGGCCCTGTTCCAATAGGACAACAAGAAACAAGGTTGAAAATTTGCAACTATTCAATGAATAATAATGAACGAAAAGAATCCAGGAACATTAATCAAGAATACTTTTTTCTTTCTTTTTCCCCTATTAACAAGCTCTCTGAATGACAAGTAATGGTAAAAATAGAAACAAAAATATTCAGTAATGCCACAAAAACTAACCCAGACATAAATAAGTTAACAAGAAGTACCGGCAAGAAGGGTTCCGCGGCGATTGAAAGCAATGCACTTCATAATCCCATGCTCCAGATACTCCTCTATGACTTCTGGGAAGTCACCTTGTAAGGGATCTTGAAAACAAACCACAAAAATTCACAATCAATTAAACACCAAAGCCGAGAAACAGACCAACTTCAGCCAGAAGCCACATAGGACTAAAACTAAATGCAACCGCAGCTAAAACTGAAGAAAACGAACAAAAAGCATACTCCAATTTTGTTAATTAAAAAATAAAGAAATTTCTTCCGAGTTTTGACGGGATAAAGGATGTACTTACCGATAATTGTAGAGTTCATAATGTAATGCAATCAGAAGAACGAAGATGAATTCAGCCGATTAAACTTGCTATCAAGCCGCCGTGGCTAGCGAGGAGCACGGACGCGGCATTAACCGAAGATTAACTCAAAACGACATCGAACTAGAGTCCTAACTTAACTCCGGCACGTCAGAGAACGGACAGGGAAAGAGGAGGTGAATACGGCAGTGGAGAATTTGCTGCGGGTGGCAGCCGGCGGTGGTGTTGGTGGTGGCCGTGAAGACGAACGGAGGTGGAGGGAGGGTTGAATGCTGCAGGGTTTGAGGTTTTCCCGGCAAAAAGTCCCAAGTTGAAGAACGGGATTAAACAGAGTTGTCGGAGGCTCGGAGTTTATGTTTGTATGTTTGAAGGAAATTGACAAATTTGGGCCCCTATCTTTGATCGATTATTTGGGCCTAATAATTTTGTGCTACATTTATATAAGACCTGGGCCTTTGCCCGTCTCGCGAGGAGTGTGTATAAATTCTTTGTCATGGCTTTGGGCCATTTTAGAATTATTATAAATTCAGAAGGATTACTTTGTAATTTAATTAGAGCTGGTTGAATCAGTTTAAATTAGGATTTTCTTTGTTTTTGACGGATTAGGAATGAAATGATTCTTGACCCAAATTCGATTAACCCTAATTCTTTATCCTTCTGCAACTTCCTTCTCTCCTTCTCGTTGCTTCCCTTACCCCTCTGAACTCTGAATCTCAGTTGCCGATTCTTGACATTCCGGCACTGCAAATTCGATTAAATCCATAATTGACCGCCGTATTCTGACAATTGGTAATCAGAGCTGGCGCCTCTGACCTTGGGAGCATTAAAATGGTGGAAAATAATCAATTCGAAGCAGCGCTGCAAGCTAAACTTGAAAAACTGATTGATTTGTTAAACTCATGGGTCAAGCCTAATCCTAAGGAGGAGTTGTTCAAATTTTCCGGCGAAGGGCTTCAAGAGTGGCTCCAAAATTGCAATGGGTATTTCGCCAATTTGCGGGTTCCAGAAACGGAAAAAATGACGGTGATTACACCTTAGTTAGAAGGTTCGGCGAAGTCCTGGTTGGAGTTCATGGTAGCAATTTGGGGACCGTTATCTTGGGCTAAATTTTCTGAGAGTTTGATTAGAAGATTTGGAGAAAAAGTAAATGAAGTGACCGAGACTGAAGTAGAGGAAGACATCGGTCAAATTAAGCCTTCCGGTGATTCTGAAGAGCTATCGGTCATTGAGGAACAGGGAGATATATCGGAGAAAAGAGGAGAACTAACGGGGTTAGATGTATTGACTGTTAAAGAAGTTTCCGACTGGGACAATGGACTCGGGGATTCGCCAAAACAACAGGAGATTGCTTTGGTCGCTGCAACTTCTATTAAAGGAGTACAACTTGGAGGTACACTTCTGGGTTTTAATAATTTTTCAGTTGATGGGAATATGAAATCTCTACAGTTGAATACTAGGTTTGTGGTACCGAATTCGTTGTGTACTGATTTGGTGTTTGGTCCGCTGGATAAGAATGATTCTGATAGTTTGGCAAAAATTGAAGAGAGTCCTGATCATTTCTGCATTAAAAAAGGACATGATTTGAGCTTTTTTGCTGTTGATCCGGAGGACTAAGAAATTTTTTACATGTTAATAACTTCAGTAAGTGTGTTAAGGGAAGTAGCTTGAAATGGGTGGTTTCGAACTGGTTAATGGATGTTTCTGGTGGTAATATTAGTGAAATTATGGGGTTTTCGTTCTTACTGTGCAAACCTGTGGTGGTTGAACTTAAATTGAAGAGATATAGTGAACTGAATGTTATTATTAGTCGATTGGAAACTTGGGAAAGAGGTAGTTTAAGGGCTAAAAGGGTAACTAGCTTCAAAGGGACTGACATGGGTCTACATGAAGTATTAGCTTCATTCAGTTCTTTTGATACTCTTTCACGTAACTATGATGCTTGTGAACTGGAGAATGCACTGTTTATTGGTGCCAGAAATGGAATTCTCTCAAATAGAGTTCAAAGTTGTTTAGCACTTTTGGATGGTTTTACATTATTCTTAGCAAAAGAATGGTCACAGAGTGCTTTTGGGAATTTTTTACATTCTTATTTCTGGAAAAATGGTTTCACTTTTGATGATATATTTGATGACATGAAGTTTGCGTTTCCAGTATTAAACTGTCTATGTACCAGTGATGTATTAAGTCTTGGAGACATTAGTTGTCACTATTTTTTAACCTTTGCTTATCTTATATTGGATGAAAATGATCTTCATGGAATGAGATCTTTTCAAGTTGTGAAACTTCATGATTTTTGGCCATTGGTAGACAAAGGATTTAAAGATGAGAATTATTATGGGACTGATAATTATTTTGAGGTTCAAATTATTGATGTTAAATGGATTAACTGGGTCACTAAGGAGATGAAGCTGATTATTGTTTTTAGACACAAAAAGGCAGTTGCTGTAAGTTCTAGTTGCAAGTATATTGTTTTTTATGTGATGCAAAATTGTGAATCAAATGCAACTATAACTGAACCCCAGTATATGGTGGTTGATTTTAAGGACAGTGCTTATGTGGAAACTCGTTTTTATCTCGGAAATCATGCTATACTGCTTGATGACTGTCTAGATGCAATTAAAAGTTCTAGATGGTATTATATTTGTGTTGAACATAATTCAGTCCAAAGGTGTTGTGCCATAACCGAGGGATGTCATAAATCATGGCCTGAACTTTTCTTGAGGTTTGAAAGAGGATCAATTCTTCAAGAAGGTTAATTCAGTTCTCTATCTATCTACTTGCTGGAGTTGTTGGAGAGAATTTTGAAAAATTGAGTGCCAAGGACAAATGTAATTTTCTGCTCTATTTAAGTGGTTGTAAAGCTACGTTATTAGTTAAAGAGAGTAGAGGTAAATTTATTCAACCGAATAATAAGGTTGATTCTCTTAATGTGATTCTTGTTGTGAGTATTGATGCTCTGTGTCTGGTTATGAATTTTTGGGATGTTGGCCTTAAAATTACCATGGATAATGGAATTCTAAATGAAAGGTTTGCATCTAGAAACTCTATGTTGTTTCAGTTTGGAGTTCAGTTTAGACTAAGTGTATTCTTTATCAATCTGGACAAAGGGGTTTCTAAGAGGAAAGGAGCTATCAGACCACTTCCTCAAACTTCAAAGATCCAGAATTATATGTTTAGTTGCATCCTTGGCTTCTTTTCTGTGGATCAATCAAAAACACCACTAACAGTAGGAGTGGTTAAAATGAAAATGGCTCTGGGATTTTATATGTATGGTATTGCTGCATCAAATATGTATGGAATGATTAAGGACAAGAAAACTCGGGCTTTTCATTCTTTTAGCTACTTTGGAAAGGTCTTCTGGTTTGCTCTGTTGATTTTTCCTATGGAAATCGAAACTCATGGAATTCAGGTTATCAAGCTGAAGGATTTCGAGAATATCAACTATACTGGCTTCATTGAATATCAATATTTCGAGCAAGACATTGAGTTAGAATTCAATTTCAGCACAGAGATTCCAGTCATGGGCACAAGTCTTCTTTTACTGAAGAAAGTGTTAGAAGCAGAATCAAACGCCAAAGAAACACATTCATATGTGTTGGAGTTTCCTCCTTATTTATTGGTTTATTGCTGGGAATTGCTGCTGTCGATGCTAAACTCTTATTGGAAGAAATTACAAAAGTGCAGTTGTATTCTTTTGTGGAGTGGGAGGGAGCATACCTCATTTTCATTTGGAAGCTAATCTTCTCCATGGGTATTGGATCTCACAACTTGTTGCTTTTATTGAGTTCATGAGTCTGCACAGAGAACTAATGCTTAAAGCCTTCCTCAGTGATTTATATTGGCAGCCTTTTTTGTCTTGTCTTGTAAGTAATAGCCTTGTTGCATTGAAATTGGGATGGAGCCTGCTGAAATCACTTGTTGATTACATACGAGCTATAATGGTGGAGTTGGTTTTTGAAGCTGTAATTTTTAGAAGTGTCATATGGACTGTAAATCAGTTTTTCCTGGTAGCTTTGGACATGAAACGGTCTACTGCTGGAAACTCAAATGTAATGCCAGAGGTGAATTCTTGTTCCCTGGGAGCATGGATGGCAACAGAGCTACAAGTGTGTTGGGTGAAAAGTACTTCACCAGATAAAAGTAGCACAATATGTATACGCGAATTTTCGCAAGAGATCAACAATTCAAGAGCTAACTTTCATGGTGAGTGTTTACCCAGAACTGAGTTCTATCATAAGTATTTGCCACTTGCTTGGGCAAAAGTTTCCACCAATTTTAAAGGAGGAACTCATTTCAGGGGAATCACTAATGTACATAGTTTAAACAATGAACCAGGAAAAGCACTAAGTTATGTCAAATCACACACATCTCATGGCTTAAATGGTATAAGTTAGGAGAAAGAACAATGAACCAAACATCTAATTAGAAACTATGTATTTTAAACAACCATAATCAATGATAAACACAACTCACAATATATAAATCACAAGTGAAGATAAAAAGGATATGAAAAGCTCCCTTTTCCAAAGAGAAACTAAATTCATGCTTCAATTTTCTCCACAAATTCAACAACTCCATATAGTAGCAAAAGAGTTGATGACTTCTTCTTAATTGTGGACTTTAAACAAAAGCCCTAAGCTAATGTCCAAGTCCCTTGATTAATTACATCTTAGAAAGTCTAATTTAAAATCACAAGATATGAACCCAAACTAAGAACTATAAAGTAAAGGACAAAATATGCTAAGACTTGTCTAAAAATGAACTACGAGAGGAGAGGGGTCTTTTCCCTAAAAAATTTAATTAAAGCAAAGGTGGACAAATTTAAATTTTTCAGAATATTTGTGGACAGGAATATATCCCACGGATTTCCGAAATCCGAGTTATAATTAAAATTGAAAACTCGGATTTCCGAAATCCGAATCTACATTTAATAATAAAATAATAATTAAATAAATTTTGTTGAATAATATTTTTAAAAAAATCTTACATGAACAGTGCCGTTCGGATTTGCGTAATCCGAGTCCCATTAAAAAATAATAAATTGAGGCGCAAAATATTTGAACTGAAATAAGGATTAAATAAACAGTAGGACTCGGATTTCCGAAATCCGAGTTCTCAAAAAGAAAAAATAAAATAAAATAAAATCAATGCGCGAAATTTTTGAAATCAAAGAACTTGAATACCGTAATCCGGTTACATGTATTAGTGTTATATATTATTTGTATGTACTAGTATTATGTAGTACATTAATATTATTACCCATTATTATGTAGTACATTAATACTAATACCTATCATTATTGGTACTAGTGTTACTTATTACTGTTAAATCTATTAGTTATTAGATATTATCATAAATTCAGTATAATTTATATGTATTAGTGTTGTGTATTATTTATACGTACTAGTATTATGTAACACATTAATACTATTACTCATTATACATTACTGGTACTAGCGTTACTTATTACCGTTACATCTATTAGTTATTAGATATTATCATAAATTCAGTATAATTTATCTGTATTAGTGTTATGTACTATTTGTATGTATTAGTATTGTGTAGTACATTAATATTATTACTCATTATTATGTAGTACATTAATACCAATACCTATCATTACTGGTACTAGTGTTACTTATTACCGTTATATCTATTAGTTATTAGATATTATCATTAATTTAGTATAATTTATCTGTATTAGTGTTATGTACTATTTGTACGTACTAGTATTATGTAATACATTAATACTATTATCCATTATACATTACTGGTACTAGTGTTACTTATTACTATTACATCTATTCTTTATTAGATATTATCATTAATTTAGTATAATTTATCTGTATTAGTGTTATGTACTATTTGTATGTACTAGTATTATGTAATACATTAATACTATTATCCATTATACATTACTGGTACTAGTGTTACTTATTATTGTTAAATCCATTAGTTATTAGATATTATCATTAATTCAATATAATTCATCTGTATTAGTGTTATGTATTATTTGTACGTACTAGTATTATGTAGTACATTAATACTAATACTCATTATACATAAGTGGTATTACTGTTATTTATTATTATTAAATCTGTTAGTTATTAAATATTATCATTAATTCAGTTATAATCTATATGTACTACTGTTATGTACTTTTTAAGCAAATAATCGCATATTCAGAATCTGAGTCAAGTAAAAAATTAGATTTTCAAAATAAGGCCATAGGGTTTAGGGTTTAACTTCGGATTTCCCAAATTCGAGTGTTACTTATACTCGGATTACCAAACTCCGAGTGTAACCTATAAACGGATTACCAAAATCCGAGTGCAACATATACTCGGATTACCAAAATCCGAGTGTAACATATACTCGGATTTAGGGTTTAGGGTTTAGGTTCAGATTTCTAGAATCCGAGTTTATCAGGGAAACATGGAAGATTCGGATTTCGGAAATCCGATTCGTGTTCAAAAAATTACCAACACTTGTACAAAAAAAATTTTTCCTCAAAAATTAATATTTTAATCATAAAGTCGGATTTCAGAAATCCGAATTATGATTAATTATGACAGATGAAAATTTTACTTAGTTTTAGTTTTAATTAAAATGAATCCGGATTTTCAAAATCCGTTTTCTATTAAATTCGGATTTCCGAAATCCGAGTTTACCCCGGATTCGGATTTTGGAAATCCGAAGGATATAGATTTGTCCACAAAAATTTCAAAAAAATTAATTTGGTCTACCTTTTTTTAAAGAAAATTGTTTAGGTCAAAAACTCGAGAGGAGATCCCCTCAAATTTGGTACACAATTGGCTATTTATAGGCAAATGGCCGGTTGGACTAAAGTGAATCAGTAAAACAAGTACTTGGGCCGAACTGAACTTTATGCAAAGAAGAAATCCAAGGAACCGGGGCTAAAATAGAAATATCTTAAACTATTGAACTGAACTTGAACTGGTTTTGTAACTTTTGAAAGAGGAAGACCCTCGGGCAAAATAAGTTGGGCCTCGGGGATTAAGTGTGCAATTTATGAAGCTTTTCTTCTTCTTCCCCGTTTGAACCCATCGCCGCCCCCGGGCACCGTCGCCGGTATCGCTCGGATTTCTGTCCTCTCTTCATGAAAATGAACTCATCTTATGCCAAAAATTTCCTCCTTGATAGATCTCAACAACTCTTAGATTATTTTTCAGTTTTTATTCCGGAAACGAGGTGTTCAAGTAGTTGATGTTCATCCTCTCGCCGGAATCTTCAACTTCGATTATCTCTATGATTTGTGAACCAAAGACCACGAAATAAGCATCCAAATTCTCCTCTCAATCCCTTCTACAACTCCCAGGAATTGTTTCAGCCCATAATTTGAGTTCTTAATTCGAATTCAAGGAGTTATAGTGTTTGTCTTTCAGTGTTTGATGAAATGCTCCCGTTTTCAGTTTGAGTGAGCTGTTTCTTCGCTTTTTTTCTCCAAGATAGAGTCTGAATTTGGAGATGATTTCTTCACAAAAGTTGGAGATCCTTTTTCTAGCTTTACAATTGTACTTGAACAATGAAATTGGAGTTTTGGATTGAGAGTTATGACCTCTGCAAAATAGGTGATGTTTGCTGGAAACCTGCAAATTTTCTGAGCTGAATTGATAACTGAATTTCATATGCATGTTTGACCATTGTATCATCTGAATTGGGAAAAGTAGTTTTCATGAAAGTTGAAGCTCTGTCTTTCGGCTTTGCATTTGTGTTTGATTCATTCAGAACGGAGACTCCTAGCTCAAGTTGTGCGGCTTTTAAGATGGACTATTTGCTCTTGATTCACATGAGTGAATTTTTGATACTTTCAACCGGTTTTGCTCCATTTTACCACTCTACAATGATAAATCACAAAATATAAGAAATGTGCACTTATAACTCTCAAAACTATCTAGATGAGTCCAAATACAAGCAAATGAAGCATGAAATTGGACATAAAGACATGTATAATTGATTCAAATCAGTGTTGTTAGATGTCTCCGTAGGAAGAAGAATCAAGTTATGCTTGGAAGCTCATAAAAGAAAAAATGATTGAAAGCCAAACAATTAAATATCAAGACAGTGAAGGATTTATTTATAATTTTGGCTTTGGGAACAAATGATATGCATGAAATTATGATAATATAAAAATAACATCATTAGTAGTAATTTATGTAAAAGAATATATTTTTTGATTATATAACTATTTATAAGTTTAAAAATATCAAATCATTACAGTAATTGAATTTTAGATATTTCTATCATCGACTTAATTCGTGTTAACATTTGTTATACTAGATAACACAAAATATTTTCTAATAAGAATGAATATATTTAATAAGAACTTTTATATTTAACCAAAAAATACCACTGAGTCTTAAAAATTTAAAAAAAAACATAAAAACAAAAGTAAATAATTAGAAAAGGGAAAACGGAAAAAAAAAAAAGTGTCTCAA